TGTTGACATGTTGACGTGGCAACTATGATGTGGCATGCCTGAATTTTATTTTTGAAAATTTTTTCCACGTCAATTTTTTGTGCCACATCATAAGTGTTAAATTGAACAAAAATGTAGAGTACAAAGATTAAATTAAATAAAATTGTAGAGTATAAGGATTAAATTGAATAAAGATCTATTATATATGGATTAAATTGGATGCTTTTACCAGTTTTTTTTAGCATTACATTTGCACCTTAACGATTATTCTTTGGTAATCAAAAATCATTAACTTTCCATTCGTACAAAAACTATACAAACTAATTACACTACTTTTTTTAAAGGCATATAAATATTCTCATTTCATTGGAAAATATCTTGATTTCATTGGAGTAATCCAAGTACATCCAATCAAGCCATTAGGATATTTTAAAAATAGAATGCACATCACCCAATTCTTTCAAAAGGCTTGTAACCTTTATTAAAACAAATATCAAGTAAAAGTATAACCCTTGTAGAATATCCACTTTTTTACAAAAGAAAGCCATCCAAATATACACAATATAGACAAAACTATAGCAAAAAAGACCCTTACTCCAACAAATTCAACTATGGCAACAAACTAAGATTTCTAGATCATATATAAAAGTAGAGCAATGACTAACCAATTGATATACAAATCTGTTGGCTTTAAAAATTAACCTTAAGTTTTGAAATGACTTAAACTAGTGATCAAAATTGTAAAAACATGTTATTCAAATGTATTCTAAGTCCCCATGAACTTTGAAGTAAAATGGCTAAGTGTTTGGATAAGTTTTAATGCTAAATTGGCTCAAAATCAACTTTTTTAAGTCAAGAGTATCAATACCTCACAAAGAAGTATTAATACATTCAAGAAAGAAACCATTCTATCCTGAAAATATTGATACCTAGCAAGAAAATATCAATACATTTTTAATAGAAAGCATTCTGTTGAAAAAGTATCAATACTCAAGAAGCTGAAGAGACAAAGTATTTATACCTAGTCAAAAAGGATCGACATCTTAAGACAAATAAGCATGGAAAGACATAAATAACAGTTATTTTTGGATCAAATTAACTTAAACGATTCCCAAGAACTTCCAAAGTATAAATACAAGTTTTCAACTTGATTAACAAATGAGAAGGCATTGAAAACATTCTTTTGAATAAAGAATAAGAATCATCATTAAAATCATCAAATTCTCTCTCTCACTTTTATAGCTTCTCATTGTATCACTCTTAAAGCTTTGACTTTCTTTATTCTTTTGTGATATTCCTTGTAAGCATCTTATACTTACTAAAACTATAAGCTTTTTAGAGGCATTAGAGCTTTCATCTCATCACTCTTGTATTGGATTGAAAATGTTCTACCTTAACCTCCAAAAGGTATTATTGTTCGGTTATACATTAAGCATAGAAAAGGTAAACAGGTTAAGTCTTAGTCTTTTCTTTGATACTTAGTCCAAAAGGATCGATACCTTAAGACAAACAAGCGTGGAAAGACACAAATAACAGTTATTTTTGGTACAAATTAACTTAAACGGTTCCCAAGAACTTCTAGAGTATAAATATAAATTTTCAACTTGATTAACAAATGAGAAGGCATTGAAAAACATTCCTTTGAACAAAGAATAAGAATCATAATTAAAATCATCAAATTCTCTCTCTCACTTTTATAGCTTCTCATTGTATCACTCTTAAAGCTTTGACTTTCTTTATTCTTTTGTGATATTCCTTGTAAACATCTTATATTCACTAAAACTATAAGCTTTCTAGAGGCATTAGAGCTTTCATCTCATCACTCTTGCATTTGATTGAAAATGTTCTACCTTAACCTCCAAAAGGTATTATTGTTTGGTTATACCTTAATCATAAAGAAGGTAAACAGGTTAAGTCTCAGTCTTTTCTTTGATACCTAGTCAAAAAGGATCGACACCTTAAGACAAACAAGCGTGGAAAGACACAAATAACAGTTATTTTTTGTACAAATTAACTTAAATAGTTCTCAAGAACTTTCAGAGTTTAAATATAAGTTTTCAACTTGATTGACAAATAAGAAGGCATTGAAAAACATTCTTTTGAATAAAGAATAAGAATCATAATTAAAATCATCAAATTCTCTCTCACTTTTATGGCTTTTCATTGTATCACTCTTAAAGCTTTGACTTTCTTTATTCTTTTGTGATATTCCTTGTAAACATCTTATACTCACTAAAACTATAAGCTTTCTATAGGCATTAGAGCTTTCATCTCATCACTCTTGTATTTGATGGAAAATGTTCTACCTTAACCTCCAAAAGGTATTATTGTTTGGTTATACCTTAATCATAGAAAGGTAAACAGGTTAAGTCTTAGCCTAGAAAAGACTAGTGTAAAAGTTATGCTTTGTCCTTAGAAGGCATTTGAAATATTGGATTACAAACTCCTTAGTGATCTAAGTGAGAAGACGTAGGCGAAAAGGCCAACCCTCTATAAAACAATTGAGTTGAGTTTTTCTTCCTTTTATTTAAATTTGTTTTCATATATCAAATTCTTTGAAAGTATTTTCTTTCTTGTAAAAGTTTTTAAAAGAAAAGGTTCTTTATTAAGCAAAGCTTTTTAAGTCTTAAACTTATAAAAATTTTAAACATTCAATTCATCCTTCTTGACTATCCTTTTATTTAGCTTGCAAATCTAAAAAGATCCAATACCCACAGACACCAAACCTTTATTTTGTAAAGGGTTTAGGGTTTAGATATTAAGGTTTAAGTTTTAGTTTGTTGAGCCATGTCAGCCAAATCATAAATAAAAGTGAAGTAATGGTTGACATGCTAGCAAACTAAACCCTAAACCCTTAATAAAATAAAGGCTAGGGGTTTATGGGTGTTAAATCTGTATATCAATTGGTTCTCCGTTGCTCTAATTTTATATTCTGAAAATCTTAGTTTGCTATCATGGTTAAGTTGTTGGAGCAGGCTCTATTATGGATTTGTCAATATTGTGTACATTTGGGTGGCTTTTTTTTTTTTTTTTGTAAAGGGTGGATATTGTAGAGAGGTTATACATTTACTTGATTTTTGTTCTAGTTGAGGTTACAAGCCTCTTGAAAAGATTAAGCTGTTTTACCACAAGACCTTTTTGTTAACTTGGGGTTTTTTGATTAGATGTACTTGGATTACACAAATGAAATGAGAATATTTGTATTGAAATGAGAATATTTATTAACCTTTCAAAAAAATAATGTGATTAGTTTGCACATTTTTTGTACAAATGAAAACGTAATAGTATTTATTACTAAAAAATAACCTTTGATGTGTAAAAGTATATTTTTGGTATAAATGTAATATTAAACAAAAACTAGTAAAAGTACCTAATTTATTCCATGTACTTTACAATTTTGTTCAATTTAGTCCTTATACTTTACATTTTTATTCAATTTAGTCCTTATATCGTGGAACAAAAAATTAACATGGGAAATGTTTTTTGGACATGCCACATCATTGTTGCCACGTCAGCATGCTAATACCACATCAGCACCATTAGCGGTTAATTTGAAAGACGCTAGGGGAAAGGACTCGATTGCACAAAATTTCAAATTACAGAGACTAAATTGACCAATTCTAAAGTATAATAACTAAATTGATAAAACCATGTAATATAGGGACTTACAAGGTGTCATGGGCCTATATTTTTAACTCAAAAAAATACATGATATGTGGTGGAGAGCCCATATTTATATAACTAAGGCTCATCTCATCTCTTATTGATGTGAGGTCCGTGACATTTTATCCACTCAATTATGCTATGTCCTGTTACAATGGCTCTTTACCCATAGAAGAAAGAGACCCTTACACTGGTTCAAGTTTATCTCGATCTTTGTATCTTTCATGAGAGTCTCACATCAATGAAGATTCGAGTTTGTTTTAATACCACTTGCTACGGGTTCATGTTTTCAATTTAAAAGACTTGATTGATAGATGATAGAAAGTCTATATTTATATACCTAAGATCCATCCTATCTTTTATTGATATGAGATCTATGACATAAGGTACTTTGACCTTTAATTTCCTGCCTTACAAGATTCTTGTATGGTAAAAGAATGCGCATCTATGTGGTTTATCTTTGTACAATACTTTACTAAAATCAACAGAAATGATAATAGTGGATGGTAAGTGACAACTATTATTATTATTATTATTTATCTAAAAATCTTCACACATGAAAGAACATGCGATAAGGACTTTTTTCTTGTAGCGCATACATGAGATGGAGTAAGGTGTGGATGGAGATAACATGTGATACATAATGATTGCATGTGCATGCAAATGTTTAAGGTTTATGGAATTAAGATTTTGAATATCCATATTATTTTAAAAAAATAGAGAAGAAACCTTGAAAGCCGTTTCCTTTTCTTTTTCCCTATAATATATGAAAAACATTCCATAAGGCTACAGAGATTGTCACAATTCACAAACGCAACGTGGGAAATGGGGCCATAAGAACCTTAAAATACTGATTGATAATGACATTGACCCTTCAAGTCCAACTGTTGAAAGTTGAAACCACGTCCACCTGTCCTGACAGTAATATGGCCCAAAATAATTTATCGGTCCATTCGATTATATATAAGTAAAATCCGAATCTTCACTTCCAAAATGCCTACCTCCACTATCAAGAATAAACCCAAACAAACCATTTCTTTTACGATTTTGGGTACCATGGCCTAATCGATTTTCAATATGTTGATATTACTAGAGCTTGGTGGTCACTGATCACTATTCAATGCATCATTCCTAACAGAACAAAACAATCCATCCACACAAAAAGCACTGTGGGATCATCAAGGGTGAAATCCAAAGGTTTCCAGTCTCCACACTCTGCAGTAACTAATTGGCAGTATATGTCATTTCTACTACCATAAATTATAAGAAAAAGCCCCCTCTTAAACTAACTTTATCATTGGTGTCTGACCCTTGAAAATATAGATTGCCATGCATAAACACGTCATTTTGCACCATCCTAACTGAAAGATGGAGATACATAAACTTTGTCCAAGACTCCATTAAAATGTTTTGATGAAATAAAAAAAAAATTACATCCGCACAGCATTCTCACTCTCAAGCTAATACGTTCCACCCATTCAATAGGCTAAATTAAGGGGGAGACTACTTAACAGCTATGATAAACACCAAAAAATTGGATGTAGCCTAACTTTGGGATCCAGAAAAACAAAAAAGGTGAATCATATCTTTTACAACATTTTCCTCAAATATTGTTAGACAAAATTCTTCTACGAAAGTTATGTAAGCTTTGAAGTTAGTTCCCAATCTGTAATTCTCCTCCGTGGACCAAAACAGCAATCCATTGGAAAAGCTCACAGCATTTTTGCTCTAAAACTTGGAACCAAGAAGAGAAATTAAAAAGCAACCATCATGCAAAACCAACATCAACCCCCTTTTGATTCAGAAAGACCTTGGCCTCGGCAATATCCTATAGAATATAACACATATTTATGGAACCGCAAAAAACAAATCACACCAACAAATTCAATCTCATAGTAACACAAATTATGATAATTCTCACCACAAATTTATTAAAACTTTTTAAAAAAGTGTTTATGAACTGCAGAAATACAGTCTCAGATTTCTGTTTAGCAGATAAAAAAAAATTCAAGTCCCAACCATATTAGCAAATACCAGCCTGCTCAAAAGCATAAGGGAGAACAAAAGGAAAGGAAAGGAAAAGGCAAAGGAATTCATCACTAATTACCCATTTAGTAAATTTAACACTTAAAAATAATAATTACCTAAAAGTCTCCTCAGCTGATCAGTTATAAAAAATGAGAAATGAAATACCTGCTGCAGCAGCAATGCTTCTTGGGGACAATTTGGGAATCGCATTAGACCAACTCCAACCACTAATAAACCATAGCATCCAAGTGACACAATAGAATAGATAGGCAGCTGGAAAAAAGTTACAGCAATGGTGCAGAGTAAGTGGTTTGGTGGATGGTAGTGGTTCAAATGTTCACTTAATTTGGGCTATCTAAAACTGAAACTGTTTAGAAATAGGGTATTCAAAACCAAAACACAAAACTGCTTAAAAATAGGGTACTCAAAACTAAAACAAAATTGTTTAAATTTCTTATCCTACTAACCAAAACCTATTTGATCCCGATTATTTATAACAGTTAATTACCCGAAACCAATTATTTTGACGGATATCTGTCGCAACCTGACCTGCTTAAAAAAATAAAGAAAGAGCCTATAATATTACACAAAAATAAATAACAAAAATAACATGCTACTAAATTTTATAAAATAAATTCATCGATAACAATCAATAATAATTTGTTTCTTACATAATACAATAGCCTTTGAGTTCATCAATCAAATTACTATAAAAAAAACTAAAAAAAGGTTTTCTTATTCATTAAGCAGGTTTAACAAAGCGAGATTTTAGCTAAAGGGAGAAACAAAAAAGCAACTAGAAGGCTCTTTACTCAAACACTCAAGACAAGGCACGAAACTGAATACACAGGCATACAACAATAAATCAACAAAGTATTTATTCCCATCAGAAGGGATAGACCAAAAAAGATATTATCATTGTTATTCCATAATAATGGAACTCAAAGCCCTCGCGCAAAACATCCCGAGCATCAGCTGGCAAACACACGTAGAGGGATCAATTACATTTCTCAAATCTAAGTTACTTAGCTAAAAGCCTAAAACCAATAAATTGAATCCAATAGCAAGCAAAACTAAAACCCACATAAATGATGAAAAAAGAAAAGAAGCAACTGAACGGATCAAAACTATAAACTGTCATAATTTTCAAAAAAGTAAAACTATAAACTGCCATCAGAGGGATATCGAATTAAAATAGTTTTTTCAAAGTCCCATTTAGCTTTTGCATCAAATGGAACTCAAAGCCCTTGCGCAAATTTCCCTAAAAACATCACTTGGCAGTTTCAATTTAAGATTTTTTTTTTTTGCTGAAGTAATTAAACAATCAGACCAAATAACGAGAAAATCAACTGATGAAAGAGCATACCTGGAACTAAAGCACGACGAGGAAGAATCGCAACCAGAGAGAGGATAAGAGTCACAGGGGACGGCAGCCGAAAAGAGGAGGGAGAAGAGCGAACAGGAAAACAAAGGCAGAAAGAAATGTCTTTTACTTTTTACCTAGTTATGTACGGCTACGGGGTTTGGGTCATTTGGCCTTTAACGAAGGAAGGAATTTCTGTGGTTTGTCCGCTTCAGGATTTTGCAGAAGGCGAGATCTGATGCCAGTACGGTGTTGGTTTCGTATCCTCTTTCACGCGGCTGGGCGAGACGCAGGCAGCCCCCGAAAAGAAGGTAGGCTTAATATAGGGGAAAACAAGTCAATTATCCATCCAAATTAAATGGATTTGGTTTAAATTAAAATGTTTGATTTAATTAGTTTTTTTTATCTATTTTCGATTTTAAAATTTTTAAACTAAATTGATTAAAAAATTAAATTAAATTGTTATACATATTCATATTTATAATATTATATATATTATTTTTAAATTTACATAAAATATAATATGCATTTAATATTTTCATTTTTTATTTTTATTTTTTATTTTTTTATTTCTTATATTTCTTTTTTATTTATACATTTTAGAGATGTCAAAAATTGAGATTATGAATTCCATTTCTGTTGTTGATTATTGATGAGTGAAGAGACTAGAAATGTATTCTTTACACTGCAATTGAGATAAACGTTAAATTTTATAACTTTTTACATAATTTTTTATTGTTTATCTTTTTTTGCTTTGTTATTAAAAAAATTATATTAATTAGTTTTTTAGTTTCTTTCAATTGTTAGATAACCTATGTGAGTGAATGTGAAGAACCAAGTCAGAAGAAGATGTAAGTTGATAATTTGCTATGGTTAATAGTCTTGTACTAGATAGTTTTATTTTGTGAATGCTTATATTATTATATTTAACTTTTTGTTATGTTGAATTTTTAATGATAATTTGATGATTTATATAAAAAGACATAATTATGTGAGTGAAAGAACAAATATTATGTTTTTTTATATTTAGATTATTTGTATATTTATAATTATGAATAAAGTTTATAAGTTTTAATAACGTAATCTGTCAAAAAAATAATAAAATTTGATCCATTGGTCTAAAATTGAACCGATCGAATTAATTCAATATTTGGTCAATTTGATTTTTTTTATATTTAGTTAATTTTTTAAAAACATTTAATCTAGTTGATTTTTAGATATGACTGATCAAATAATTAAAATAACCTATTTGCTCACCTTTAAGGAAAACTAGAAGGCACCAAAGTCGATGTGGTTGACTTTGGGCTTTAATTGGGGCACACAAAAGTTGGCCTAAACACCTAACCTTTAACAGAATTTGAAAATCATAATTCGAAACAATGTTCAAAATAATGTTTTCTAAATAATTGTAAAGCTAAAATGTCATGATAAAAGTATGAATAAACTAATTTAGTACTTAGATAAAGAGTCTCATAAATTGTAGTACTTAGATAGCCTTAAAATATCTCAAATGCATATACAAGATTTATGAAAAGCCACTATCTGAATTTCTTGCATGCTTGATCAAATCATAATTTGTAAAAATGTTAAAAATGGAATGAACAAAACAATGCAGCAAGTAACCGACATTCTTTCAATTGGATTAAACATATTTAAAACATTTAGACCAAAATCATCAATAATAAAGATAATAAAATACAAATGGGTAATCTCAATAATGAATTGTTTCAAAATGATTTCAAAATAATTTTAAATTTTAATGGTCTCCTATAACAAGCCATGGTCACACTTAACTAATCTGACATAAATCAGAATCAAAACAAAAACCATAGTTAACATCAATGGCATGGGTTAGAAGCAACCAATGGTTGCATGGAACAATATCACAAAAATCACTATCTTGTAATTGGTTGCGTAATTTGAAACTAGCTTATAATCATAAAGTACATGTCGATATGACCAACATTTAACTCTCATTGACAGGGTTAAAGCATAGCCGTACTAAGAGACAAAACAAAACGCATTTTCAAATTACTTGGAATATACAATGCAATATTTATCCACTTGTTACAAAACAGATATCATATAAAGTCAATTTCATATGTTCAATTCAAGATGTGTTATGCAAAATCTCATAGTATCAAAAATAGATTTGCATATATTGAGCAAAATCATATTTGAAAACAAATATTCAAACAACAACTTAAACATTACGAATTTAATTAACTATATCGGTTTGTCCATGAAATTTAATAAAAGTTGCTTGGTTCCAAAACTATTCTAATCTTACAATTACTTTTAAGTATATATTTTATCAGTTTATATGAACAAAGGTATATATATTATAATCAATAATTTTATAAGCTATAATTTTTGTAACATTAACATAAAATAAAAAGTAAATATGTTTATATTTAAAGTATATATACTAAAAGTATATATACAATAGTAATTATATTCTTTTTAAATGAACACAATATATAGAATATATGTATTAAAAGTTATTACTAATTAATTAATGATAACAGTTTCATAAATTAATTTAATTAATAATATAAATTTGTTTTAAATTACGTGAAATTAAAAACTATATATATAATCGAGTTTGAGTATCAGGTATCCAAAGAATGGCACCCGAATCTTACCCAAATCGATACAAGTAGTGAAATTACTAGTCAAATCCTATCCGAATTCTATATAACTAAGTCAGGTACTCATAGATATCTTGTAACAAAGTAAACATTGCCATCCCTAAATTTGATTATGGATGCTAGATTTGGTGCTTTTGTAATTGGATCTGTTCATGGAGTGCTAAATCCATGCTTCTTATTACCAGATCTGACTGTGGAAGTGTCAGTTTGTCTTCTGATGGTGGAGAAAATTTAAAGAGAGAATGAGAGACAAATCCATAGAAAAAGAAAAAAAATAATTTTATATTATATAGATAATAATTTCTAAAATTAGTTAAGAGCATTTTTGTTCTAACAACTTTTTTATTCTATCCTAGCACAATCGGAATAGGCATCATTGATGGAGGGGCTCAAGTATGAGCACTTGGACATCTCTTTAGACGATCATTTTTAAAAGATCCATAGACCAAACAACATCATAAAAGAAAATAAGAAATAAGAGAGAATGGAATAAGTATTCCCCATTTCCCTCACCAAACGTTAAAATAAAAATAAACCTGGACACACCCCCCTAAAGGAAGTTGAAAGAAATTGAAGTCGACTAGAAAGTAGAAAGCATCCAAGCTTTCCCTGTAACCAAACACCCCCTCATACGCAGAAGAAAATGAGGAAACTGTAAATATCAGGACAAATTTCCTGAAACCCGGACACCCTTTTTAGAGTTTCAAACAACCTCCCTCGTCCGCCAGTCGATCAATCAATAATTCAATTGAAAACCAAAATCCACGATGGGCACCACAGGTGGGAGCGACGTGGAGGCGGGGTTCGCTAAGCTACAAGGCGAAGACTTCGAATATTACATGCAAACCTATTCCATTATGCTCGGTCGCAACTCCAAGAAATCCTCCGTCGATGTCGACTTAGCAAGCCTCGGCGGTGGCATGAACATCTCCCGTCACCACGCTCGCATCTTCTACGACTTCACGCGACGCCGTTTCGCACTTGAAGTCCTCGGCAAAAATGGCTGCCTCGTCGAAGGCGTCCTCCACCTTCCCGGTAACCCTCCCGTTAAGCTCGATTCCCAAGACCTCCTCCAAATCGGCGACAAAGAATTTTACTTTCTTCTCCCTGTGAGGAGTATTCTCGGTGGACCCCTTGCGCCTAGGCACTATGTTTCGATTTACCAGACTGCTGGGACGGGGGCGGGGGCTGCGGCTTCGGCTGCGGCTGCTGCTGGTGGGGTACCGCATCATGGTTTCCATGGCGGGGCGGAGACAGGGAGGACGGTGGGTTCCGTGGCTGGTTCGGCGGTGGCGGCAGCAGGGGTGAAGAAAGGTAGGGGAAGGGAGTATTATGAGGACGAGTATGGGGAGGAAGAGGATGTTGGGAGTGGTGGGAAGAAGGTTAGGAGAGAAGATTGGTACAGTGGGGCCGAGGCCGGGTCTGGAGGAAAGGCGGGGTTGGCCGGAGGATTAGGTTAGTAAAATTGATTATATGTTATTTCTTAAAGGTGTGTCATTTATGTGATTGCTTGATCAAATTTTGTTCTTTTATTTTGGGTAGCTGTGATTATGGAAGTTAATTTGCTTTGTAGAGTTTATGATTTTGTAAATATATAGTTTCTGATGTATGCTATGAATTGGATTTTATAGTTGTTTTGAGACTGGGATGGATTGGGATTATTTCTGCTTTCATTGTTGTCTGCAGAAGTATTCTGACTTTTGTTAGATAGCAAAAGAGATTTATCATTTTATCTCAGAAGATTGACAGATCTTGTTTTTTGTGTTTGAGCTCTGTTATCACTAGCCTGAACTATTTTGCTCCCTGATGTGTTCTCTCCGATGTTATTCTTCTTGGTGTTTTTTTGCTATCATAGTTACTGGCACTGGTTATTACTCGTGGTTGCATTACTCAAAATGCTTTGCTAGATTGAACCTGAATCCTTTCTGTTGGTGTTCTTCTATTTCCTAAGCACCATCCTTATCGTTGATTTCATGCTTTAATCTCTCTCATCATTTTCTATGAGTTTCCTGTTGTATTTCATCAATCACTGCAAATGTCTCTCGGGGTTTTGACCTCTGTTGCTATGTTTGCGGTTAATATGGTATTGTTCTCCTTTTAGTTTTCTTTCTGGCGCTTTGCTGGGAGTTAGTTGTAATTAAACTGTCAGCAGAGTCTTACCGTATTTTAGATTCTTTAATGCTCTAGATAAAAATAAATGCTGAATAAGATGTATGAAGTGGATGGAAGTTACTAGAGTTGACACCATTTACTTGGATTGAACTAAATTTAAGCATTATTATACCAGTGCTTATCCTTTTCCTCATTCTGCAAGCATCTAGAGAATCTTGATCTGGTTTTGGAGAATTTGCACTAATTCATTGGGTTATCCTGGTTCTGAGTTATTTTTTTTTGCTTTGCTAGCTGTTAAAGATACTCCTTAGGCGTTGCATAGTCTGTAGAACACCCAAAGCAGTCATCTTGAAGCTTTTAATGAAAGGAGTGATAGAGCCGCCATGGAAGAGAGAGGAGTTGATTATGTTTGGAAGTATTTATTACTGGATTAAAACTTTATAGGTGCTATAAATTGCCATAATTGGTCAGTTATGGTGGGCATAATTTTGGTTTTACGGCGTTTATTGTTATGTTTTGCAGCATTTGCTCAACCAGCATTTGCCTTTCTCACACT